CTCCTAACAGGCCTTGAATACTTATTCGTCGAAAGCTCACACCCTCAGGAGGATGGCCAATGCAATGCTCCTACAAAAGTCTTGTCAGGTTGGGGCTGCCCTGGGCTATTGAAGAACTTCGTGCGTTTTCAAGCTTTGTTTTATGAACCTGTTAGCAAGGGGTGTTGAGGTGGCGCAACACTTCTTGAAGAAGTTTGCACAATCCAGGTCAGTTTTCAAAAAATCACACAGGGCACCAGGATGAGCGGTTTGGACAAGCGGAGGTCCCGTGAATAAATCGCTTGTTGAGCTAGGTGCGCACTCGCACAAGGGCGGGAGACGATTTCCCTTGAACTAGCTGCACGGGTGAGGAGATTCTATGTAGGGTGGGGGCTGGTTGATGGGAGACGGCAGCCTCAAAATGCAAAGCCCTGCACGGGTTGCTCGGCAACGCATGCACACAACCGAACTGATGCAGACTCGTGGTGCCAGCTAGTCTCAGAATTTTACAAGCATGGATGGGGAAATGCGCGCTGCTTACTGACTGACAGCAACGTGCCCCGCAAGTGCAGCCATACGTGGACATTGCATGCACTGAGACATGCCCAGTGCACCAACCGCGAAAGTTGCACCGACCGACCCATTCAGTCTGAATTGAGTTGCTGAAGGGCCGGCCTCAAATTTGCCAGCGCTCTTGGAGATGGCCGGAATTCTCAGAGCATTTCTGATAAGGGCTGTGTTGATAGAATCTACAATTATGCTTGATCCCAAGAGCCACGGGCCCGGAAATTCCAGCTAGTGTAGCTGAGACGGCAGATCCCTGGAAACAGTGCCGTGTTGTTATCTTATGGCCTTTGGCTGTATGGGATGTGTGCCGAGTTTTTTCTGCACACTTCCTACCATCATTGTTGGGCTGACAGTGCAAAGTCGGCGCGAACCTTTCACTGCACAAAGATCGCATCCCACATGCTCGTGAGCTGTTGGTGATTGGGGATTTCCAATGCCTGCGCACGAGCCTGTTCTTCAATGCGCTCTGCTTCGGATACTGGATGCCAGCAAAGCCTACATCTTTTCGCGCAAGGTCACTGCAGGCAATGGCCAGTGGAGTGGAGTTTTGCACGCAATGGGGGGGCTACTTTATCTGCAGTCTCGGCTGCCAAATTTGCATCTGAGATGTGGCGCTCTTTCCCGCTGCTTTGTGACTGTGAATCTTGACAGCTATGCACTCAGCCATGGTTCTAGATCATGAACTGGAAAGAAGCACAACAACAGCAAACGCGAATACGTTGGTATGGGGCTGGAGGCAGCTGTCAGAAACTGATGCTCGAAGTCTTACATTTGGAGCCAGCGCCGAGCAAAGATCAGTTCTTATTCTCGAAGGAGATTATTGAATGCGCTCTCATTATTGAGAAATATCTAGGACGTCCTTAGGCTTGCGGCAGGTTTAGCTTACTGCAACGTCACGCCGTTACGTTGTCCGCATTTGTGGTGGCAGCCGACGAAGGCATGGAATTGCTATACAAACCCTGCAAGACCCTGTCCAGGAAATGAAGCATAAAAATTGCAAGAAAAATCGCTATGCTAAAGCCATGGCGCGTTTTACATCCCACGGAAATCTATACAAGTGCAGCCTCATAAAAAGTAATGCGGAATTGCCTGAAGTTTTGAATCCCGCGCCCGCCTCTTTTACTGTGAAGAAGTGTCATAGTTGTCACACGGCATACATGACAGCCAGCAACCGAGGTGCTCAATTCCTTCCCATCATTTCTTTGTAAGTAGTTGGGGCGGCGTTGATAGCATTTCGACTTGCTGCAAAGATACGGTGGTGGCTGCTCCGGCTGCACGGCTGCTACGGCTGCTGCTGCTGCTGCTGCTGCTGCCAGCCTAAATAGCCTGAGCAGAAGAGGGTTGTGGTGGAACGTGCCTGATGTATGCAAAACAGTCGCACGTGCCGTGGATGTCTCAGTTTTTGAGGGTTTCAGCTGTGGGAGCTGGAGAGCATGGTTGGTAGCGTCTCGCGGCGCCGCCTCCGCCTGCTGCTGCTGCTGCTGCTTCCTACTCTTCTTTGTGTTGCCCGAGAGCCGCAGCTGCAAGTCGCACGAGGTCTCCGTACCACCCTTCCCAGTTGTTCGGGTGCAACCCTCAGAGAAGCAGCCTGCCTCGTTAGAGTCGTCAGAGGCGAGACTTATGAAGGAACTTGTAAGGCATTTGAGCGCATTGGCATTGCAATCAACGTGACTGGAGGGAGCTGCCAAGGCGCACACGCAGGGCTTCTGATGCTGTGATGCTTGAATTCGCTTCCATGATGCGTCGAACGAACCGCCCATGAGAAAATCTAGCCGGCACGCACTTAATTGATCTTCATATAGTGTTGTGGCAGGCGCGTTGCAATCAGTACTGAGATTTTCGATAAGACCAGAAGTCAGCGAGTTTCCTATATGACCACAGGCAGGGCCCAACACAATCGCCTGCCTCCATGTGCCATCATGCTCTCAGCGAAGGTAACCAGAGAAATCCCACTTGCATTGCCCTGACCGAATCGTTTCTGCGCAGACACCACTTATTGGGATGCAGTCTGATTCACTTGGCAGGTCTCAAAGTAGAGGAGCTGCTCTTGACAGAGGCGTTCGCGGACACAGATCACTTCAAGATCGCGTTGCAAACGGACAGGGCTTTACAAAATCTGAAACATGTCTTTGCGTTCTGCTGTTGTTTCGAAGCATGTCCAGGGCCCTTCGGCCATCGATTTTGGGATCATCCCTGGCTTGCTTTACGCAAGGGCGCGGTTTCGTCAACAGCGTCAGTATTGGCCTGGTTGGTCTTCATTTGAGGTGTTTTCGGAAGCAACGGCACAAGGGCACAAGGATGAGGTCCTGGGGCCAGGCATGAAGCATTTGTGCTACTCAAGTTGGCGGGATTTGTTGCTCAGCGAATTTCATTCGCTCATCTGCATTTTTTGCAGTGTGTTCCCGCCCCTTGCATGTAGCCCGCGCACTCTTAACTTTTAACCCTTGCTTTTTGTGTGGAGGCCTGGTTTCCAGAAAAGTTGGTTAGAAACTGGGTGTGAGACATGTTTGGAAGTTCGGCTGGTCTGCCGTTGTGTCAAGAGGATGTTGGAAGCCGTTGCGTCGTAAACACCACTGTAGAGGCCTGCGCGAATTGTCAGAGTCATGAGTCCTGTGTCATGGCATGTTGCGACAGGTTGGCTCAGTGCACTCGTGCACACTGGCAGTTAGCTTGCCTGCGTCTGTGATCCGTGTTGCTATACTGGTTGCCATGCTGCACTTATGATTGTTGTTTTGTTCGGATGCAGTTTTGTAAGGGGGGGGGGGGGGGGGGGGGGNNGCGGACAAAAAAATGCTGCGGAGGTCCCCGCAGTAGACGGGCTACCAGGCCAAGTTACAACAACATGCGAGCTTAGGCCTGAGCGAAGCTTTTTGATTTGACAAATGGTGTTGGTTTGCATTGAGGTTTACCCCGGACATCACTCACTTGGAGTTCCACCAAGGGTTGGTTCTTTGCCAGTGCTGAATGCTTGTGCTCCATGTGCCGGAACGAGGTCAACAACATGTGACGCGCTGAGAATCGCACAGCGTGGAATCAAGGCCCCAATCTTTGTTTGTTTCTCAGGTTCAGACAGAGATAGTTTTCTTCAGGCACTTCCAGCAACATGGTTGCCAGGCATTGGTGAACGAATTGGGAGCGGACTTGGTTTGCAAGCAGGTTACTTTTTCACGGGATTGGGACCCACATGCAGAAATCATTTGTTGACTGTGCAGGTTTCCACTGGGCTCGGAACGTTTTTCTCGCAGGCAAGTTTGTTGCAGCGCATGAACCCATGTTTCTCCCACGGCGCAGACGACACTGCCAGGCTGTCCGTGAAGTCAATGGCGTTGTCAAACCATACCTTAAACCTGCAGCAGTGCCCTTGATGCTGGCGCTACAGCAGACGGCCACAAGTAAAACATTCATGTCGTCCTGCTGCAGGTACTGAAGCCGCCGCATACTCATGGGGCTGTCGATTTGAGAGGAATCTTTTGGAAGGCCGTTCTTAAGTTCTTGGTGCAGCGTTCATTTGGGTATGTTCATTTATGACGGGTAGTTCTTCCTGCGCTGCAGGGGCCTGTAGGCCATGTCTTGAGATCCTTTCTGCGGGAAGCAAGTTCCCCAGCAACGTGAGTTTGCACAAAGGGGGTTTGGCTTGTGACATTACCAGGTTGCACATGTGGACAACAACGTTGAATTCAACAAGGCATTGCTGTAGTGATTTTCAGGTGTCGATTTGTCCGTGCGAGCTAGAGATATCCCACACTTGCATTCAAAAAGGTTTCCCACTTGATTCTGCGAAGGTACTGCGTTTTTTGCGATCGGATCTTGGGATTGGCGCCATTGCGCTACCCACAGCTGATCTCCAGGCACGCATAATCTGGTCTTGCAGTATGTCATAGAACGCTTGTATAGTTTGGGTTCAAATGCAGCAAAACTGATCCGAAGTGGCTTCTGTCTCGCTTCATGGTGAAAATCAGCTTGTGCAGGTCGTTTTGCCATGGATTCAGAAAATGGTGTTTGCTTTGAAGATGCAAAGTGCCTGTCTTACCTTTGCTTGCAGCGTTAGAAACAAGTTACTCTTCGAAGTGCAAGATGGGGTCAAGCTGTTTGCTTTCGCATTGTGTTGTCAGAGGCGTTACGCTGGATGCCAGCTCGCTAAAGGCTGCCAGCCACGTGCTTTGATGTATCCTTGGTTTGGCGTTGGGAGGATCTTCACTTCAGCTTCACATCCTCGTCGGCAGCACGTCTTTCAGGCTCGGCATGTAATTCCAACTTCCGGGAAGCAGCCCGCTGGCAGTGTGCGGAAATATGCGGAGACATTTAGCACAAACAAGCTTGTCACACTGCAGGGATTTTTCAAGGAGCAGATGCTGCATTCTGCAACCTTAAGCGGCTCGAGAGTCCTGAGACAAGGGTGACTTTGAGTGACCTTGGTTCGGTCCAGCTGTCAGTCATGTCCGGCCCCTGGAAGCATGCACTGGTGCGATGCGAATTTTGCTAGCTGCTCACAAAAACACTCGGCACTTGCTTTGTTGAGGTTCAAGAACACGTACCAGTCTGGTTTCCTGTCCATCCTCTACTCCATCGGCAGCAAGCCATTACAGATTTGGGACAAGAAGGTTCGATTGCATGTGGGCGTGTGGTTTGCAGGATGCTTGGGAGGTTTTTCTGCTATGAATCTGCTGCTTGCAAAGTCGACGCCAGGTCCGCAATGGCCATATCAAGCGCCTCACTGACTCTGACATCCAGTCAAGCGTGTTGGAGCTGTGTCCTCGTTTGTGTGTGAGATTTTTCGCCTGGTCCACTTACGGAGCCAACATGTCCAAAAACATATGGAGGAGATCATGGGCACCAATGTCAGCACAACCTACATCACTTGTCCAGCAGATCCTTCCAAGACTTTGGGCATCAAGTTGCCTTTCCTGGCGACTTGGAGCAGGCATGTGGGCTTGGGTAAAAACCCC